AGAATATTTTTACATTATATACTTGAGCATTGAAAAAGAAACATAACTAACATTTTCTTGTTATTGCCTTCATAATATTTTTGTTCTTTTGCCAGAAATTAATTTAGAGAAAATTCTAGACAGCATAACAAGCAAAGCGTTTCGATTTAAAACACATGTTTAGAACAAATTGCCGATAACGGAAAGTGCTTCATTGGATTGTAAATGAAATATAGAACTTTAGTAAAGACAATTTATATTCTTCTAACTAAGGTCTATGCAAGTAATAATAACTTTATCGAGTCACTAAGTAGGAAAAGGAATGAAAAGAACCAGACATTAGATGCTCTCAAAAATTGGAAAAAATATTGTTACAAATATTGATAGAATGACTTATTTCATATTATTCATTTCGTAAATTGTTGTATACCTCTGCATATAAACTAACTATTTTTTTTTTCTTGTTCAATTACTGTTATGTATTACTTACCACAATCAGCGAGCAAAACCAAATAGTAACAAACGACGAGCACACTGTTTTCAGTTTTGTTTATTTATTGATTTTTCTACTTGAAAATAGACCTACGTCGTTGCTTAAATTGTTCTTATGCGAGTCGTTGATGACTTATGGGTTTTTTACCTATTATTTTCTTTCCCAATGTATGATGTATGCATACATGCATACTCGCATCGATGAAAAGCATAAGGCATGACGAAAACATCCAAATACTAAAGAGTTTAAACAACGAATTAACTTGACGTGACATATGACAAGATTAAATGTATAAAAACCTTTACTGATATAAAGAACACTGAACATTGTTATATAACTTTTTTAGTTTTTTTTGTAAATCGAACATAGTCAACGATAGATGGCGATTTTATACATGTATTTCTAAATGTGCAGTGCTGTAATGAGTATGTCATCGTTTTTCTATTTCAAATCAGGCGACTGTGTTAATCTGATGCTACGAAAATTGGAAAAAACAGCAAGTCAAGATTTCATTATTTAAAGGACTCATTAATAATTCGAAACTGAAAATACGATGACGAACAATGTTTCTATTGATTCAACAATAGAAAAATCATAGAATCATGTCGTAATGAACATATTCCAGTGTGCTAAAACACTTAAAAGGAATTAGTGAATTTTTTTAATTGATCAAGAAATACAACGGATCGTTAATAATGTGTCTGAAACTTGTATCAATTATTGGTCAGAATCATCATTTGCGTTTTCTTTTTCCTTAGTATTAATATACTATTCACCACGGTCATCACAACAAGGGTGGAATGTGAATATGAATGAGAGTTAAAAACCTGCATCGAACTCCACAAATTTTGTTCTAATTTGCTGTCCTGAAAACTATATTTGAGAACATTTCGCTTACCGTTAGTGGAAAACTGCAAGTATAGTACCCAAACTGTATCAAATAGAAAAATTTAAACAAAAAGAAGTAAAAGAAAATTTGCACTAGCTGAATCATAAAAAGTGATCATTGCTTCAATACTTACTTGTTTCATTTTAATTTACTGAGAACACTGGCATTGAATCGAAACTTCATCTTTCATTTACTGAGTTTTTTAACGAACTATTGTTAATGCAAATTTTGTAGAAAATTTTACAAAACTTCACTTTTATTTGAGCATTTTTTCTACACTGATTTAACAGAATTACCTTTTTTTAATTTAATTTAGAATTTCTTCTCTCAATAACAACGTAGCATTCGTTTCAATTTACTTTGAGTGTCAAAAGATTTTTCCGCAGATCTCTAGTATGTATCTCATTATCGTTATGTATGACGAGTCTATTCATTCACGCTCGCACCCTCAGTATTCTCTAATGTTCTATGTTGATTGACTTTGACAAGTATCTTTAGATATTTTCCGACTACATAAACTTTTATTCCAATAAGAGAATAAAATCAACGTTATATAGTTGAATCAAGACAAATATTAGACAATGGACTGTCTCTATGTAAAGCTAATATTAATAATTGTCCATCAATGTTACTACTTTTAGCAAAAATAATTGAACTTCCTAAATATATCGTATATTGATATTCGCTCTTGTTTTTAATAATACGTAGTGGTATGCCTGAATTTAGGAATATTGGCTTTGAAAATGCTTCTGGTAGTATCTTTTCTGGAAGTCTTTCAGCGACGACTTGACTTACAACGGTAGCAGTTCCACCACCATATTCAATTCCAGATACAGCGATACACATTGTTATGTTCTGTAAAGATTGTATAGTTAAATTAACAATATCTTTTTGATGAATTGATCGATATTTATACCAATACGAAGGAGCGAGGTCTTCAGCTGTTATTGTATAATTTTCTGACCAAATATTACCATTTTTTATTCTTAGATTAACGTCCTTAGCAATTTTCGACAACTTTAGTGCTAATTCTGATTGATTGTGATTTTTTAAAGAGCCATTTTCAACAACTATAGTACCATTTGATATAACATATTTAACGTTTCTTTCATTAGCACTGTAGATTAGAGTTACTATTGCACTATCGAGTTTCAAAGGTGACAAACCGAATTCGTTTGTTGCAATAAGACTTATATAAGCTTGTTTACCAATATCAATTGAACCAATTTTATTATCCATTTTTAAAGCTTTAGCACCATTTATTGTAGCTGCTTGGATGATATTCCATTCATCAAAAGTTTTTGAAATTTCTGTATTCATTAAGCTTATTTTATATACGTTCCACATTGCTTTCATGGCTGAGAAAAAGTTTATGCCATCGTTACTTGCTGCTCCATCAGTACCAATTGTTATTAAAACATTTGCTCTTAAATAACTATCAATTGGAGCTATGCCAGATGTTAAATACATATTTGATTCTGGATTATGTGAAATAGACATGTTATTTCGTTTTAATATGTTAATATCTTCATCTTGTAACCAAACACTATGAATAGCTAAATGATTCTTTAATATTTTAAAATAATCTAATAAAATCAATGGTGAAATTCTTCTCTTGTATTCAAGTGAAGCTAAAAGTTTTCTCTCTGTTTCAGTCAGTTTTTTGTACGATGTATTATTTTGTAAGATAGTGTCAAATTTTAATATTTGCTGAGCAGTTCGAAGCAATTGTTCATATGCATCAGCATTTGCTGGAGGAAGTAAATTTGTCAGATTATACAAAATTTCTTCATCAACTAAATTTAAATGCTTATATTGATTTAGATATTCGATAGTAGCATTATAAAAATCTCTTTGTTCTTGAATGTTTTCCATTGTATGTTCAGTAGTAGACATGTTTAATTGTTTTGCAATCACGATGCCAGAATACACAGCGGGTATTGAATGAAATGATAAGGGCCCAAAACCCATCCATAAGTGCAATTTATTTTGATATTTTATCTTTAAACGTTCAATTTCTTTTAATTTTATTTCATCATGGAAAAAGAATCCCGGATTATTCCAAATCACTACTCCGGTTAAACCAGCTTTTGATATACTTTCAGCATTCGTTTCAAATCCATAATCATTCAATGCTAATGATGCATAATCAGAAACTGTTGTTATGCCTGAAAGAAGAGCTTCACATGATGCAGCTAAAACAACGTCTGATAATTCGTCTTTAGTTAAATAATGTATTGGCTTGTAAATTTCCAACCATGTTTGTAATGGTTCTTTGGGAGAATATGATTTAGATACATGTTGCCATAAATGTGTGTGAGTATTGACGAAACCAGGCAATGCAATAAGGTAAGATCCATCAATCTTTTCTTTGGCATTATCTAATAAATCTTTTGTTGGAAATAAATTATTAATAGTGGTGATTTTTCCATTAACAATGCCGATGTTTCTATTAGTTAAAATTTGCTTGTTCACAACATCAATAACAGTGCTATTGTAAATCAATAAATCAAATTCTTTCACCTCGTTATTGTTTGCTCCATCCACTAAAATATGCTTAATTATTACTTTACATACACGAGACCCAAATAGTGAATCTAATTTTCTGCATGCCTTATAATTTTTAAAATTTAATTCCCTTGTATCCAATTGACTGGTCATTGTGACTCAATCCTTTTACAAAAAAGCACGGTGACTGAAGTTTTGATCACTAATGATACAATCATATCAACAGTTTTCGTAATTTGTCAAATTTATATTTTGTATCTATTTTATAGGATTCTTATATACAAAGATTTTAGTGTAATCGTGTTTGAATTAAAGAATGAAACATGATGAAGCTATCATAACTGTACACTAGTGAATTATGCAGATTTTGAAGTACATGTCTGAGAAAATTTACAAACAATGGAAATAGGACCATCTATTAGTCTTAAATACACTGTTCGAAAGAGGAGTCTAAATCATCTATATTTTGCTTATTAGATGGATTCTTCGAGAAGAAAGTATCGAGAAGATCGACATAAGTCAATCGGATGCACTCGCATTTCTAGCACCCTGGAGTGCTTGTGGTGTGTTCGGATGGATGGCTTATACTCACATCCACTTGTTGAGTAGAGTTCTAGCAAACTAATTCTGATAATATGTTAAGAGTTCAACCAATAAGAGCATAGATTAGAATGAACCTCAAAGCTTTGATGGTAAATTTATTAGAGATTTGTTAGACTCCGAGCTAAATATTTCGTACCTCTTTTGCGCAAGCCCAAAACAAGACCAGCGGTGATACCTGTTATGGCTAGCAAAGTTATTGTCACAATTGAGAAGATGATGTTCCGTTGTCTAAAAGAGAAAATTAAACGATATACAGACCATAACTTTTGATGCATATAACCCATTAGACTTAACGTATTCAACATTTGAATGTGGGTGTAAACATGCGGATCTTCTTCTTACTTAAACTTACATCCTTTTTTAGGATTTAACTAATTTCTTTTTGCCTCTTCATAGTTTTTTATTGGCTCACAAGCAAGTCCAAGGCGAATAGTCTCAAGAAACTTTCGTTAGAATGTTTGAAAAATTCCTTTCGTCATGAAGAGGCTTTATTATACTGTTAATCCAACTCTTTCAGTGTGAGAATCGTAAGTTAACAAATTAATAACGAAGTGAGCTCATGTTTTCGACAAAAAACTTCTGAGACGTATCTTTAAAGTTTTTACGGGCAATTAGTTTACTTTTGTAGTTAAAGATTGATAGATGTTCTTCGAATATATAAAAAATAAAGCTTTTTTACGAACAGATTTGACTTTCTAATATCTTGCAGACTCGAACTCATTCAATAGTGGATGCGATGACTCGTGATCATCACAATGAAGAATAGCAGAACTCGAAGATCAGCTACTTCAATAAATTTTTCTTGTCAGTCTTGCTTCCTGATTTAGCACAAGTAAAAACCTAAGTTGATTGAGGCGAGAAAATGCGTGCTATGTTTAAAATATTGCCATACAAGTTAAATAAAATTGAGATGAAAAATTCCTAAAAGTTTTCAATAAGAAAGTAGGCGACCGAAGGTTCTCATACAATTTTCTTTATATTATCTCACGAATTTCTGATTTTTATATCGTTTTCTTCATCTTCGACATCAGTAGGAATTCACTGACTATTATGAACTAGGCATAGAAACAGTTATGGAAATATAAGATAGAATGCCCGATGAGAAGAATTGAGAGAAAAGATAGAAGCAGTAAGAAACAATATAGAAATATTTAAGATATGTTTTTTAGCACTGAATTTGTCCAATAGATCACATATATGAGAGAGTTTTAAAAAAAAGTACTACTCATCCTAATCATAACTTTCCGTCCTTTTTTTCTTTGAAGAGAAAGTGAAAAGTCCACTTCCAGTGTACACTTCTTCCAAAAATTAAATCTCATTAGCTCTATAATTCATTTATTCTTTTATCGAGATTATTTATGTCGATTTTCGTCTTTCTCTTCTTACTTCTTGACGAAAAGATAGTTTATGCACACCATATGTTCAAAGCAATCTTAACTATTGACTCGAAGAAATAATATTTAAAATGATAATTGAAAAATCCAAGGTACAGCTGATGGAAAACGTATCAAAAACACTATTGTAATATGCAAGAGAGTTTCGTTGTTTTTAGTTGATTGCAATCGTTGATATTCGATAAAGGTTGTTGATAATCTACTAAAACAAAATAGAATACAAAATACTATGCAAAAGTGAAAATATTGTTGTTAAAATACATCTCTCTCTGTCTCCTACATACGCAATATATCGTTCTTTCGTGTACAACGAGAATTGTAACATATAGAGATAAATTTGCTTCACTATCATTACAACGTGCCTGGTTATAGAGATTAGAAGGGCAAATGCATAAGGCAGTGCTTGATATTTAGTAGAAGATAATAATAAAAAAAGAAACGATGGTGACAACAAGAATTGTAGTATCTTTTAGAACATCGTTGAATGGATTAGTGTGACACTCAATAGTCTCTCTCACGCAAAAACTTATTATTATTATTATGAAGCAAAAATAACTGATTAGTTGTTTTGATTGAAAAGGCTCCAAAGCTTTTTTTATCCAATTCCACAGAACTAAAGAATGACAAAAATGGTGTTTTTCCAGTAAAACAGAGCATTAGCTCGTTTCTCAAAGACAGTTCATTTCTGGTTGAGCAACATATTCGATAATCAATAGATTAGAAGAATGGCTGGATCTCATAGGGACACACTGTCGAGATAGAAACCTATAGCTAAATTGGCAGTCTGATTCTGACTTCGACTTCGATGAAGTCTAAATCGAAATTCTAAAAAGTTATGTTTACGAAGTCCAACTTGACACTGTTATAAATTAAGTTGAATCTGAAAATCTTTTTTTCATCTGAAGAACTGGACAAAAATTTATGCTTTTCAAATCTATTGAGAATAATCGATACTTTATTCAAGTATATACAGTGAAGATAATTCTTAAAGCAAACCACGCATCGAAATCGTTGGAAATGTCAATTATAATCCACGTATTAGAAAAACACCAAGATCGAATACTTCGACATAGTTCTTTTCAGATTTACATAGACTTTCTGTCAGCAAGAGCTAGATATGAAGTCTTGTAGCTCTCGTTGATTTTTGCACGAGTCGATATTTTATTTAGATTGAGGTTATTGACTGATTCGAAACTAACAGGCTGAAAGATCAATTTTTTCGAAAAATGACCCATGAAACTTGCCTATTGTATTCGCGATAGGTATTTTTGCAATTTTTTTATTAAACTACTCACTAGAGTATTAAAAGCTGTCTTTCTATAATAATTTGCAGCAATCTACCTTTAAAATTTATTGTTTTAAATCATTTGTATATTTCAAAAATGTTGTTCTCTCTGATGAAAATATAATCTTTGTATAATTCGCAATCACAGAGTGAAACTACAACACATTGTATTCGAAATGAGGCTCTCCCTCAGGATAATTGTATTGACTGTTGTTTTTCTTTATTATATTCCAGAGTGGTTTATTTCAGTGAGAATAGTAACGCAGTTGTTGCATACATAAATAAGAAAACCAAGAATACATGCAGAACTGAATGGACAAGAACTCAAATTAATGAATGAATTTATATCCTCATTCTGCATAATTATTTCATTTCTTTCCTATGCTCTTTGCGTCACATCATTAATCATAGCAGCAGAAGTTTCCTATTGATGTTCAGCTGATGCATCATTAGAACTAAACATTAAACAGTACAATGAAAGAAAAGTAAAAAGAATGAGTATATCGAACGAACCTTGGCCGTTCACTTTTCTATAATGATATTTCTATTTAAGATGATTTTCATAAAAGAAAGACGAATCATCTTAGTCGTTGTATTTTCATAGTAATCGTGTAAAATAATTAATAGAAAAGTATGAATTGTTGCTCTTAAAATGGATATCGTTTATCGAAATAGATGCATGAATAAGAAACATTAGCACTTGCAGAATCTCTATTAATTCCTTTCTTTATCTATTTTTCATTTTTTTGGCCTTGAAATGCATACGTGCATTCTCCTTTGCTTCAGCTCTTTTTGGATGTGTTTTTTTCTTCTTCGTTTCATTCTCTTTTTCTTCTTCGTTTTTTTTTTGTTTCTTTATATACGCTCCTAACAACCACATAGTTAGGTATCGTTGCATCGAAAACTTTTTCTCTTCCATTCTCGTTTCGTCGAAAAAATGAATTCTATTTAAATAACGAAAAGTAGACGATATCATTTGACGAGATTTTTTGTCCTACTAATCAGAAGTAGCGCCTGACTCCGTGTAGATAAATTTACTTAAAAAAAAGTTTATTATATAGCAGACTTAACTACATAAATAACTAATCAGTAAGAAACTGAAGATTAAAAAAGAAAAATCAATATTTTTTTATTCCGATTATTTGCATCATTTTTTCAAGGTACTCATCTAATGTTAATACTTTTGTTTAAAACGTTCTCTCAAATTATTTAATCTTGCATTTCGATATGGCATGATAATGCTGCTGGATTATAAGCATAATGATTTTTAATTGCACAATCAGGACAAGAACGGTTTTCATATTTCCAATAAATCTTAGTATTTACAATTTTCTCCTGAGTGTAACGGAAATTATCGATAAGTACTGTAGGTTTTTTAGGTTTACTTTCAACAATAGTTGACATCATTCTTTATGGAACTTAAGAAAATAAGATACAGTAAGATCGAACCTTTCTCAGCATGTATATATATTGTTTTCTTCTTTTTTTTCGTTTTCCTTCCTTAAGCGTTTTAATTTATTTATTTAGAAAAAGAACACTTTAAGACAATCAAAACAATTAAGATGATCCCTTTCATTTTAGTTCAGTTCATTACGATTTACGTTTTCGACGAAACGATACTAGTCGTACTTTTATTTTCAACGAAACAAGAATGATATGACAAAAGGGTACACGAAATTTTTCGACGAAACGATAATACTCCCAACCATATCAACTAAGTTTTCCTATGAAGAATGGTTATTATGTGATAACAATCTCACATCAATACGCACTTACAGTCAACAATCATTCATGTAACGTTTGAAAATGAATGTGATAGAGAATATTAATATTAAACACCGACAGAACACAACAAATGATATGACGCAGTC